ATATGCAGCGGCTAATTCCGTCTGAAACGGAAATTGCCTGGAGTTTGTATGCACACAAACTCAAATTAATATTCTTTCGGTGTCGAGCTGCCGTTAGAGTGATATTTTTAGATTGGATTTTACGCTTCGCCAAGCAAATTCGACCTACCTGGAAAGGAAGAGGGAAAAAACTATGTAGTGCGGAAACGCGAGGGTCGAACGCGAGTCAATCAACACAAAAGACCTTTACTGGCGTCGCTCTTTATATACCGTCTTTATATTAAGTATCTTAAAATGGCAAGACTTCGATCAATATTAAAATTGATATATGAGCAAACATTAAATTTTCTTAAAATAATAATAGGAAAATGTTCATAGCAAATTTTATGTTTTAAAGATTATGAAATGAGATGATACTTGTAAGAAAAACTCATGATAAAAAAGAACAAATCCGATTTGCAAGTATAATATATTAATACCGTACACATTCATAACAAGCATTAATAATACATTTCAATATTATTTTTCAGTTAAACAATCTGCAATTGTTAGATAAAATGATAGAAGTCACTAAGATTTCTTAGAAAGAAAGAAGAAAATAAGAGCAAAAAATGTATGGCTCCATCAATAGGTTTCAAAAATGTCTTTGAAAAGAATGTTATACATTTATTGAAGCAAAAGTTGATATTTTTTAGTGAAAAATTTAGAAATTGGTAATCTGAGCATGCATAACTCATCTACTTATAATGTTACGACTAACCTAATAATTGCTTATCAACACACAACACAACAAATATGGAACGGCCAAATACCATTTAGTAGCAACTATGTACAGATTTTAACGGATATTCCTAGTAGATAAGCCTTTTCATATAAACAAGAAAGCAGGCATGGACGAATCCTCCTTTCGTTCAACAAAGTAGAGACCGCAATGAAGTCTCCAAATATAATACATCAGAGACAGATGCAAAATTAATCCAAGTTTGAATTCTCATAGGAACACCATAATAATCATAGTTAACTTTGTAAGTAAAATAAAAATTTAGAATTACTTTCATATAAAACGTTAAGGTGTTGTGTTCCAGAAATGGAATTCTAGACACAGTGACATATTATTTGGTGTTGTTATTATAGAGTCTCAGTAGATAAGGAATTAAGTAAATACAATTGATTTTAAACAACTTTATTAATGAAATGTAGTCCTTCGGGTAATAGTACTATTGGGTTTCTAAGAATATGTAGTTACTTTTACATTTCTGATTATTTCTGTAGACATATTCTATTTATAATTATTAATATTATGAGGCAGTGCAGTCTTTAAGATTTTGAGGCACCGGGAATAAATTTGGAGTGGGCCCCCAATAACCCCCTCCCCATCCCGGTAACTTCAAAAAAATATATAACAATAATTCGCAGTGCCCCGAGCATATCCAATATCCGTGGAAACGGATATTGGACACAACACCTCCCTCGTTGATATTGTTTTTAATTATATAATATTGTTAAAGTTACCAAAAAATTAGTTGTAAAATATGATTTTATTTTTAAAATGATTGATATGAACTACAAAATTATTCTTTATTTTTAATATTGCAATTTAAAAAATGATATGCATGTCATGTATACTGTGAATGACATTCCATTAAATTTCTTTATATTATTTCCATCCAAGTTTCGTACACCTACAATATTAATATATCGATTTTAAAATGTAAAATATGGAATTAAATTGCAATATCATGCCTATTTCACAATATGTAATCATTTAGGTAGTATTATTCAATGATATTTAAAATTTACATTAGATATTAATTAAATAAAATATTTTTTTCGTAGAATTATTCCAAAGATAATTAGAAAAACTATTATTATTTAGAAAATATATGTAACATACGTTAATTTTTATATGGCAAAATTAGTTCAAGAGGTAAATAGAAACAATATATTACCAAAAAAATCTATTAATAGTAGTTAATATAAATACAAGAACAAGAAACATATAGATGTTTTGTATTATCATAACTCAATGACATCTCTCAAATACTTTTTGCAGAGAAAACATGATCGGAATTAAATTCAAATATTTTCACTTAAAAACTGTATCGGAATAACAACTATTAAAGTTAAGATTAAGTTTAAATTGTATATATTTTTTAGTATAAAATAAAGTACTCATCGTTGGATAACATAAGTATATTGATTATATGTGGTCCTTGAGATTGCGGTTTCGAACTATTAATAGATTTTTTTGGTAATATATTGTTTCTATTTACCTCTTGAACAGAAGAGATCGTGTCTGTCGGTAATTTAGCATCGTGCGATAAACAGTCATTGAAATTCACACGAGTCTTCAAGTCTGGGCGCTACGTTTTTGCAACAAACTTGGCAGCTGGAATTTCGATCGAAAATACTGAAACGCGATCCTCGACACATCGCATTAAAACCGTCAACAGGCTCAGGCACATTTCCTGCACGAACTATACTTGATTCTTCGGAAATACTTCAATTTATAGCATTCAGAATGCAAAACTTTTTGTATCAGTCAAATGGTGTTTGAAATATGACACATTTTATAGAATTTTATATATATATAAAATATATATTATATTCCTTATACAAAACAAAAATGTTTATTAACGTGGAGTTTTTAAATTGTCATCTTATATTGGATTGCGTTAAGTATTTGAATCAAGACGAATATTATTTTTTTATATAAAAGAACAACAGTATTTAGTTGAACTGACATATATTGTATTTAATTTTTAAAATATATTATTTTGGTGGATGCTCCGGGCAACATTTAAAAAAATATATCTAAAATAGCTTAGTAAGTGTAGTAAATGAAATATATATTGTAATATTAATTTATACGTTTATAAATACAAAACTTAGTATATATCAGATAATTTATCTTACGAGTTAATTAAGTTTATCTAAACATATAAGTATTAAGTATGCTATAAAACAACATTGCTTAACCTTTTTCCCGCGCAACCTAACGGATTTGCAACCTAATTGCTTTGACACAAGATGACAGCTGTCATTTGATATTGTATTGCGACCCAATTGTTTTGACACAAAGTGACACCCGTCATTATTGGTTGTACTGTCAATTGCTTGTCACATTGTGGCAAAGGTGGCAACTGCCATTACGCAACCAATAGATTTAGAAATGCTGTTAAAATGTATGGATAAGACTCCAAATACATGATATTTAATTAAATAAATAATAATAATAATTGCACTTGACAAAATAACAATCATCTTATTTTTGTTGCATAGACAAGTAAGGTATTGTTTTTGAAAATTTACTTGAGAATTGAGAACAAAAATACTTCAAAAATGGAAAATGCTACGTTTATATATAAGAAATTGTTAAATTAAGCTGCTTTTATCTTCACCTTTAATGTTTGCTGTATACAAACATTATGCAATAAATCATGTTGTAATTATCTTAAAATTTTTGAAATGAAATTATGTTTTTTTTTTGTAATCAACCCTAAGAGATTGTCTTGAAAAATGATTACATGATTCATTTCTCAATTTGTAATGGCATGATAATAACAGTTTCATAATATAAAGATAAATGTTCTGTTGTAAGGGTGGCAACCTATGTCTCTTTTGAGGAAAAAATGCGGCTTCCACCTTGTAGGTCAAATAAAAAAATATGTGTATTAGAATTATATTTTTCAGTTTTTTTTTACACTTTCATTATACAGTGGAACCTCGCATAACGGGCAGTTCGTTAAGCGAGGTTCCACTCTATGCCATTTAACACATTATGTCAGATCTGACGCTTCTCAAAATTATTATGATTTAACCCCTTTTTTAATTTCATCCTTAACTGACCGATCAAAAGCAGTTTCGATGCGTTGGTCTTCTTATCACACTTCATTATTCGTGTATCAGAACTCTTATTTGATGATTGTATCAAAATCTCATAAAGTACCTGTCCTAATATGAATGAACACTTTTCGTCTTTGTCATTTATTTTCTAATAACTTTGATTTCGACTGACTTGACATTATCGTAATACATTTCTTTCTTCATAATAGTATTAGTATTTATAATATCAAATACAAAGGAATCATCGCACATTAGTGTTAATGTAAGTCACGATTAAAGATATTAAAATATGATTTAATATGACATTTCCAGCAGTTAAATTTTATTTTATTTTTATTATTGTAACGAGTTTTTCTTTAATTTTGTAATTTATTGTTGTGATTAATATATAAACCCAATATGGGCAACAATTTAATGTAATCAAAATAAAAACGTATAAAAATATATACACGTAATAAGTATGCTTATTTAAGGGCAAGGAAATTGCGTCCTCTTTCCCGTTACCTTCAACCACCATCATATAATTAATATACATATAGAAAACTCCTGTTGCTGGTAATAACAACAACGTAATTATATTCGCAGTTCTGGAAGTGGATAGAGTTTCCTCTATAATTTGTCTCTGTCAATTTGGATACACGAAGGTCAGTCTGGAGAGGGCGGAGGGAATATTTCCCACTCGCCCCCTTTGCTCGATCGAAAGAAACATAAGTGGCACAAAAATAAAATAAAAATGCGAAACGCACGAGGAGGGCTAATAATAAAGTGGAAGTCGTGAACTTGGTGCGAGTTCTTGTTGGACAAATTGCAAATGCAACGCAGTTACATTGACTTTCAGTTGCGTAATACGTTCGTTAAACGGTTTGAAGCTAAGCAATTGATATTTACAGCTGACAAAAATATTTACGTTCGCTTTCGCAACAAATTTGGCCGACCGACATTAATCTTGTTTCGCTTTTCTTCGTGCACAATGTTGTTATCGTTCTCTCGTTCGCACCTAAGCTAATCTAAATATATAATTAATCACATCGTAGAAAGAAACGAAAAGGAGTATAGGCAGTTAAATGTGTTTCGCAAAATTGATGAAATCGGTGGAATGATAGAGGAAGCTATCTGCATTTGTTCACGTGAGAGCCGGTAATTGCGAAATAAAGTAGAAGAAAAAATACACTTACAACGTATATTACCTCTTTGATGCAAGGGTGCACTACACAGCCGTTCCTCGTTATCACCATCCTAAAATAGAAAAAAAAAATAAGTAATATTCATGATTTGTATAATCATTTTATAATAATCGATGAAAACAATACAAGAAACTCAAAACAACAAAACAAGGAAAAAATAAAGCTATTTTAAAGTACAAATTATTTTGTATTTAACAATTTGAAGTTGATTGTATGTGCATAAATGTACAAGAAGGTTAATTACTGGACATATCAGTTATTTTTATGTTAACATTTATTGTTCTTTTTTTCGGATATAAAATGTAACGGATAAATAAGTTTGATGAAAAATGAAATATTTATGATATCAACTTAATTTTCACATTGTTATTTTAAATATACTTATATTTTTTCAATATTAAATTCAAATAATTTTTAAATATGTATACGAAATCATAAATTCTTATAAAAACTTACTCAGCATGAGTTTTTATTATTGAATTACAAAGATATTTGTAGCATATCCTGCAGTTATTAGAAATTGACAATCAACTATAAAATCCCTGACTATTTGAATTGTGGAAATTTGTCCCTATTGTTTTGTTTATGAGAATCATTTTTGGTTATAATATTAACATTTGCTCAAAACTCTTTTACACGTTTTGAAAATAATTCGCAAATCCCCTATTTGAAGGTGAAATTGTATCTACAGATAAAACTTGTAATACATTTTTCGTCACATCTTGCGAAAATTATAACATATAGTTCATTTACCAATATAGATGAATTGATAGTTGGTAAACATCTTGAAGATAAAGAAATAATAGAATTTGTCTGTAAAGAAAAAAAAACATGTTGATGATGATAAAAAAACTCAACTCACTGAGGGTTTAATATAAAAGGGCTTCAACTATCCAACGAATTAAAAAAACATTTTCTTACACATGATTCTCTCTTTGAAAAAGCTACGTAAATTGACATCATAACCCAATTTTTTATTAATTATACTTTTCTCAATGTCAACAATCAATCTTCTGATTTTTAATATACTCTATATATATATGACTTTTTTCATTATTTTTTTTTAATTTACCATGAGTATTTAACACAGAATGAGCTAAATTATTAAAAAGAAATAAACAAAAATGTCTTGTAACAGTTATATAAAAATAAGGTCTTTCCACCTTATTTAATTATATTTTATTAAGTTAATTGATTAATTTAATTAAAAAAATAAGGTGTGCATTCGATACGGAAGAAGTTTGAGGAAACGAAGAATGAAACAGCTCCGGTTTATTTTCGGAAAGCTGCGAAAACAAATTATTAAAAGGATATTTATTGGAACTGAGTTTATTTGAAATCTGCGCAATTGGGAACGCGGCTACGGTTTAATTGAAAGGATCAAAGTCCTACCTATTGAATTTGCAATAATTCACGTCGACCACGGAAGCTTATGCAAACCGAAGAAAACAAGGAATTCCGGTTACTTCAATGTGTATAAATATTCATTCATTTTTTTTATACAACTTACTTAATAATAGCAGAGTAGTAATTACGTAAGGAATTTTATCAGAATTCTGCACGCATTTCCACAATACACAGGACTGGTCAATGACAAAAATGTAACTATTTATGTAAAATAAATATTTCTTAGAACGAATTTCTTGAAAAATTATCAAATTGAATTTTTTTTTAATGTGAATAACACGAATTATAAATAAAGTACTTAAATATATTATATAAAACGTCTTTAAAAATAGTCGTTAATAACCATATATTTTGAAAAGTGTATAATAGAAAAGAAATAATTGAGAAGTCAGTTTACAAATAAAAAAAATATTTATTGTATTAATGAAATGTATAAAAACGTGTAGAAGTATTGAAACGAATGAAGTGCGAGTGTGTATCTACGTGTAACTAAATATAAATCTATGACTAGTTTGTGTTTCGAAAACCGTGCAAATGAATATGATATATGAAATTAAATTCTAAAAATAAGGAAGGAAGAAGAGTGACAAAAAAAATACAGCTCGTGCACAACGATCATAGAGAGACCTACTTTTCAGAGGTTTGGTCTTTAGCTGCAGACGTAGGAAGGTGATGATGATGAGCTTAATTATTCTTTGTTGCAGATAGTTTGTGTTGCTTTGCATGTGGATCGCGTCGGACTGGCGAGCTTTTGGGAAAGCTCCCGCGAAAACACGCGGAAATTTCGGTCTGCGCCGCCGTCCGATTTTCCGCGTATTTTTAGATCGCGCGAGGAAACCGTTAATTCGCACCAGTAATCTAAACACGCTAATTGCGATGGTACTATTGGGTACAGAGTGATAAAGCTTCGTGATAAACTTATGATGCAACGTTGCTTATCTCCTTCACGATGGAATTACACTAATAAATTTCATTTATTGTTCAATTATGACACTCTGAGAAAGGTAACTGCAACTTTCTAGTTTATAAATTTGCTGCTGCACGGAAAGGATATTTTTCATAGATATTCCGGATCAGTGGTCTTCAAACTTTGGAACCCTTAAGTACAGATACACGTAAATCTTTATTTAATTACATTTTTTTATTTTATTAACCAATATAGACGTTACGTTAACTGGTGCAAGACTTTTAACTACATATGGACATCTAAAAATTCCATTAAAAAACTTTAAAAACTTTGCAGGAACATCTACGTGCATTTTTTGACAGTAATATTGATGATTGTGGAGTGTTTCGGAAGTACATATTATATATAAATTATGTTAAAAATATATTGGGTTCATAAAAAAGTAATTTCGGTTTTTGTTATGATTTTATCCTTTTGCCATTTGAAAGATGTCACTTTTAGTTTCTTTTAGAAGTTAATTACCCTTAATTTTGTCTGCAGAGCCTAGTTTAGGTTCAATTTTAACAGAAGTACAAAAACTAATATTTTACTGAGGCTCACAATGAAATATGTGAAGTATATAATGTTGATTTTTTAACAAGTTACATTTATCAGAATAGTTTTAAAACAATCTGTTGTGGAGATTTTTCCTCACAGTTGACCAACATTTTGGTTGACCTACTGAATTTTATAATGACCAAATCAAAGTCATAATTGAATCGTATCATCATATAATTGTGCAAGAGATTGCAGAGGTTAAATTTATTACACACAACAACTGAAAATCACTTGATTATCTTGATATTCATTTGAAACAGATTCATTCAACACAATGAATCAATATTTGAAATCGTCACGTTTTTAAACAAACATGATCCAAGCATAATGAACCAGCACAAACCATATCAAAAGCTGAATTGCATATCATGTTATCAATTTGGTGGGATTATAATAGTGTTATGAATTTTGAGCTGCATCCAAGAAAACCAACGATCAATTCTAATGTTTACTGGCAAGAACTAATAAAATAGGCAGCAATGAAACATGAAGCAATGGGCAGAATTAACAAAATGTATTCAACCAAAACATTGCAAATCCTCATACATCTTTAGTAACTCGTGGAAAATTATTGGAGCTTGGGAAGAAATGTCGTAATCTTTAGAGGATAGCTATATAATTGATTAGAGTTCATTCTTTATATACAAATGAAATTATTTTCTTACCAAGCCAATAGTAAATACTTTGTGCCACAAATAATTGTGCGCTGCCTGATTTTCAAAACTATCCACAAGTATCCGTAATTTCGTCAATAATAATTTAAAAGTCATGTTTTTTTTTTTAAATAAACAGTGAAAACTCGCTTAACGAGTTCAATTCATTCCAACATTTCCAACATATTCAAAAATACACATAATATGTGTACATAAGTTTTAAATATCGGTTTTAAGCCAGTTATTTTTCTTAAAAATTCATTTTACTCGTTAAGCGAAATGCTCGATATGCGAGGTACTCCTTAAGCGAGATTCCACTGTAAATTGTAACGTGCATCTTGACTTTTATATTTATATCATAGGAAGAAAAATATAAATATTAATTGTTGCTTTGAAAAATTATTATTCGAGAATCAAACTATTCGAGAAACCACGTATTTCATAAATTCTTTAGAATTACTTTGACTTTCAAGAATACAGTTTGAAGACCACTGTTCTATGTAATTTAACATTCTTATACACGTATCTTGAATATTTTACAAAATGTTATTAATAACTTTAAATAACTTATCTTAATTACAAAAATTAAATTGAATAAATTATTTAAACATTGATATATTCTCATTATTTAATACTAAAAACATTGATTTTAAGAATCGTGTACTAAAGAAATGAAAGAAAATACGAATAGATTATTTCAACATCGGAATATTTAATAAAGAAGTCAAATATTCTTTAGAAACTTAATACCAACTTGATTATTTACTAATTAAGATAATTTATCTTAACTATAAAAAATATTAATTATAACTATGTGAAAAATAATAAATTATTTGTAAATTTAAATTATTCAACTTATTATGTAACGTTAATTATACTTATAAGTTATAACTGAATTAATATATGTGCATTATTTAAGATTTACTGCATGGAACCAAATTAGTATATACTTATATATGTATTACCCTTGAGTTGAAAGATCGCGGTCATTGGCCCTTTGCATGGGGGCCTTCTCGTTGATTGATACGATTCAAAAAATACTATCAATAAAATTTGTTTTCTTAATTAATGAATTTCAATATATGAATTATGTTTACAATTATTAGCTCATTGATAAACAATTTCATTTTTCTGAAGAATTATATATAAAATATTGATTATCAATAAATATAAAAAAACTATAACAAAAAATGGAAACAGTTTTCAATTATCAGTTGAAAATATTATGATTCTGACGTTGAAAATCGTAGAAATAAAAGTTGTTTTCGGTATACGTAATAAAAATTGCGTTCTTGCTAATAGTTTCGTCTTTACTAGTCGTAAATACGAATTAAAAGATCAACCACACTGTTACAACGTATTTCTGTTTTTATTGAAGTTGGCGAACTCATAAATATCGAGCACGATTTACGATTGATTTCGTAATGCTTCCTAAATTATTTTCTATTTACAAATACGTCGACCATCAACCAAAAGAGAAAACAAATTCTCTTGGACTTAAACATAAAAAATATATACTTGTTCTGATTGACTTCTGATTAAAGTTGTGTCGCGTGTGGACGTTAGCAAGGTTTAATATTAGCGGTGGTCTTGACTTTCAGACAAAAAAAAAGATGTATTTGGGGCATACGACAAGATTATAAAATTTGTTTCATGCATATCGGAGCAAAGTGGCCGATTTGTCAGATACATAATTTTGCACAAATTACGGGGTAGAAAATGCAATTACTGTTACCATACAAATGGCAAGTTAATACATTTCTCATCTACTTTCTTGTCCCGCTCCGCTTGTAATGAACTTCATTATCATATTTATTAATATCCAGGGAACGAAATGGGAAATTACATTTGTATGCATTTTTCCCTCTAGCTTCGTTGTGAAAATAGATTTTTGGCCAGACTTTAAAGAGAATGCAGTTTTGAGCGTTTGATTCACAAAAATCATAAACTAATGTAAAATTAACGTATTAATTTATTACTTATTTTATTTGTATATTATAATTATGTAAAACATTATAAACTTTTTACCTTGATCTTAATAACAAATCACAGAAATAAATAACTTTGTTGAAGCAACAGATAAAACCAATTTGCGCACAACATAGTTTGAAAAATATATAATTGAATAAATTAAATAAATTATAGATTTATAATCATTTCATTACATCTGTAATTATATAAATCTTTTATATATTCACTTAAGTTGAAATTGAAGAAATTGTAGGATAAACTAAAATACAACTGCATTCATATTTTGGGATACAATGTATGATGGATATAAAAATAAACGTATGAGGTAAATTATGTTTTATTCAATGAAAATACATAATAGATGTGTAAAACGAAATACTATTTTCATCATTGGTCATAACATAGTCTGGATATATTTAAAATGCTTAACTATAGTCAACAATTTGTTTACAAAATAAAAAAAATATATCGAAAGATTTATTGCATATGCAACTTTGCACAATTATTCGATTCCAATTAAATATAAAAGATCTAAACAAGTTGAAAATTGATTTGAATGTGGTGAAAAATAAAGAAATAGAAGATTTAATTTCACTAATCTTGGAATCGTCATAAAATTTTATTGGCAGTGGTGAACTCTAATTCAGTTTATTTTTAAATTCTTCATTTTAATTAATCTAATAATGATTAATAACAGATTTTTCTTTTAATGTACTAATTATTATCTATATCATTTAATAACTTACAATCTAATTCAACAAGTAGCATTAGTAGCTAGAATATGCAACTTTATATTTTTTTAACATTAGTATAAGATTTTGTAATATCATAATTGTAAGATCTCTTTGTTTAATTAATAGTTTAGTTTGTTTTTTTTAGAGCAAATGTATATGTCCACTAGATACGAAAAGGAAATTTAAGTACTGATTGCCATTAATTTCACGGGTTAAGTATAACGAAAAATGAATTCATATAAAAATATAAAGATGTAATCTTAACAAAAGCGCCAATAATAATTATTATTTACATTGATTTTTGCGACATCGAAGGCTTTACTTGTTTATTTGCCATTTGGTTTTTGGTTTGCAATAAGGAGATTTGCTTAAAGTCATTGTATTTAGGCGCTTTAAGCAAAAGCACTTATTGCACCCAAGATGCTGGTACCCAAAGAGGTTCTGTTTCCAGGCGATTTGCCGCGGACAGCAGTTGGCTGAAGGCTATAGCCAAATCGGCGTTCATGATCTGTTCATCGAAGAGATGTTCGTATAGGAATTCTATTCTAGCTGAAGATCTGATCATGTCGTTGAATTCCTCTTCCTGGAAAATGGTATATTTTTTAATTGTTTCTATTGGTTTATTATTGGTGTCCTGACCGAAAATCCTCTGGAATTGTTCACATCGAAAGTGGATCTTGCATGAACAGCGATTCTTGTATCCCTTAAGATGTCGAGAGGCGGCGGTCTAATGTATATTATGTAAGGCTTCAGCTGAGGCGTCCGCAACATCTTTAGAGCTTGGTAATGCGGGTTTATTATGCAAACGTAGCCGTTACTGACTAAATTTTTGACACTGTCGCAAGACGTCCCATACAGATTACCCTTATACTCCCCGTATTCCATGAAGTTGCCAGCTGCGATGTCCTCGTCCATCTTCTCCCTGGACACGAAATAGTATTCCTTCCCGTTAATCTCACCGGGCTTGATGGGTCTACTCGTATCTTTAAATGTTCAATTTAGAGTTGTTTACTAGAACGTAACAGATTGTAAATTTTCTTACAGGGTATCGGGGTTTTGTATTTGTCGGGATCGGTGTCGATGAGTCGTCTACGGAGTTCATTACGACCGATGCCCGGAGCTCCGATCAGAACTAGGGGTCGATAGATTCCCGGCCTCGGATAGAGCTTGGCGACTTCTTCGTACGTGGGAATCTGCTCCCTATCAAAATCGTCGTTCTCTGCTGTTTCATACATAATCTTTTTAGTTTTGGGTTTGGATGCGCAACGAGGGGATTTCGGGAACTGGCTGCAGGATAGCACGGGTAATGCTGAAACAGAGCACAGCCCTACGGCCAGCATGATTTCCAGTTAGTGGCGAAAATGAGTTATCTGATCTGTCGCATGCAAGCTCAATATGTACAATAGCGACACACACACAAAGCAATAGAATGAGAATGAGAGAAGCACAACAAGCGATTCTTTCAGGACACACCGAAAAGCACTGTCGGGAACGACGCTTTTGGTACCTGGCACTTCGTTTCCCTCCTTCATCATCTGCGTCCGTTCGTGGATAATTCTGCGCTCCTGCAAAGCCCTACTAGGTATCAAACCTGCCCTCATATTCCTATCGCCCTCTTTTCTAGCTTGCCACCTACAAAAGATTATATCCAAATTAATCAATATGCTTCAATCCCGTTTTCAATTACCAATATGCATCATCTTGAGATACAATATGAAGCACGTCCCCTTTCACGAAATCTAATCCAGCTTCTTTACAAGGAATATACGGATCAGTAGTTGCGTTGTAATTAAAATGAGCCCTGACCCTAACTTTACTCTCTCTCAGATTAGTTTTTCCATCAGTGGGCACTAACTTAAAGGTGATTGTACCTTCAGAATTTTGCTATAAAATACAAAACATTAGGCAAATTTTCAGGACCATACATTCCGCACTCACCAAAATACTGAGAACATCATTAGGCGTCTTACCCTCCACATTAATATTATTCACCTCAACAACTTCATCCCCGACGTGAATCAAACCAGACCTATCAGCCGCTCCTCCATGCATGACCCTTGCTATCACAATTTTTCCCGACGTCTCATCAGTTTTAATAGTTGCACCCTAAATAAATAACATCCAAATCACTCACTTCAATTACATCCACTTATGAATAGTGCATGATAGTAAAAATATCGGTGCGATTGTGTTTACAACATAGATAAACAGAAGAAGCAGAGATGAAGAGTGTAAAAGCTTCTAGGTTTGGAAAATACTTACAACTATCGGCTCAGCACTTTGAGCGCCAGTCTTCGCAAGCAAGGAAACAAATTACATCAATTCTCTTCGCATGGTGTATTTTTTTTTGTATTTTCAGTATTTTTCATGTATTTTATTTGGCTGGCTTTGAAAGCAAACACGAAATTTAACTTACCAGAGGCTCGTTGCTCTTCACTAATTGTACGATCTTTATGGTCTCTTCATCTTCGTCAACTTCCAATGGGATTTCTGGAAGATGTGGGTAGTAATCCTTTTGCGCTACAGCATCGTGTGCGCACAGTACTCCCTACGGAATATACTTTCCTCATACAAACATGATTGTTAATCGGATGGTAATTTACCTGAACATGTGGCTTTTGCAGCAGATGAAATAACTCTTTGCACTCTTCAGATATATGTGTTTTACCCGCCAGGACTTCGAGGACGTCAAACATGACGTGCATAGATGTCGAGAGCATTGGAAAGAATTTGTCGCTCGATCCATTGCTGATGATTTTATTATGAACGTTCACCAATGCGTGCAATTCCTTTGATTTTAACAGATCACTAAGGAATACCAGTTCTTCCTCAGATGAAGGCAGTTCGTTTGCTTTTTGCAGAGAATTTAATAGACGAGACAAGGCTATAACAAAATACTAAATCTGTACATTTCATAGAAAGCAAAATATATGCCAATCAATATAATGAAGTCTAATTATCTTTACATCTGCTTTAAATATATACAAGAAAAATAATATATACATCATTTTCTTTTGAAATGTCTTGACTACAACTGATTGGCTTTTACTTACAATTATTGATTGATATTGACTTTTTTAGTATTCAATAATAATGTCGTACTCTTAATAGTTAGTCAGAATATGAATTATATTATTTTCGTGGAATGTAGTATTTTTAGAATGTACAATTTCAAGCAAAAAGTTAATGATAAAACATTCTTTCGACCCTATTTCTACCACACTTTTGTGTATTTCGAACTCACCACCTTTGTATCTGTTTTTGTGATACAGGCGACCATATCCAATTATTTCAAAATATTGAAGATTATATAAGATACTTTGACAACGTAGGTTGTATTCAGCGTTAATGATTGAACGTTTAACGAACATATAGGACAAGAAACATTTTCGCGAAATACTTTTATATTCGTACAACAAACACATGTTCGGGTAACCAAAACCTTGCCGACCGATTGGCGTTACCTTTGGGAGCTAACGCTAGTGATTTGAAGCTTAATTCGGCTAACAAACAATTGTGTTTGAACGGATTATGTTCGTTAACTCAACAACTATTGTCTATTTGTTTAATATTTTCTGCTTCAGATATTTAATATCAAAAATTCTAACATTACTATGTGCCAAAATACTTCAGAAAAATAAATATGAAAATTTGTTTTTAATTTCAAATAAACTGGGAAATGTAGAAACATAAAATTAAAAAAGATGCAAAAATGAACATTTGTATATAATTGCATTGAACATATCATTGTTTATTTAATTAAAGCAAATTTACTCTAAATTAAAGTACTATAAAATGCAATTTGGAATAGCAAAAACAAATACACTTTAATAAATAGAAGTTTAACACTGTAAGTTTTTTTTTTAAATTAGTGTGACTAAAGTTTCAGCTATACATGAAATAGTCTTATGATGAGTTTCACTTAGAACAGTATATTGATGTAATTTAAATAAAGTCTCTCTCAATTATAATTTAATTTTTTTTTTAAATAATTTAACACTTAGTATATTTTTTAGATTTAAACTTCACTTAAAGGATTTATACATACTTTAAACAAATGTTTCTTATATACTAGAAGATTGTTGTAATTCATCAAATATTCTTGTATTAATTAGAAGCAACAAAAAAAATCAATTAATTCTGTAATAATAGAGCAAACAATGTTTCTTTTTATAAAATAATAAATAACATCAAACATGCACATAAAAGAAATAAAATAAATTATCAAGTCAACACATTTATTAGAATAATAATCAATACAAAAAAAAAACAAAACAAGAATGATAGAACATAACAAATTATAAAAGTGGAATGAAATGAAGACAGGAAGTTGGAAAATCCAAACAAATTGGTGGCTACTCAATGCTTACCAGGATCCCACTTTTCTTTAGTCCCATTGGCCATAACCTCACCTGCCATTCTGTGAAAACGAATTTAGTTTAGTTGAGAATATTTATAACGTAACAAGACACTCTTGAGCAACTAAATGTATGTACTACTACTAACGATTGAGCTAGCACGGCATTCGGTGCCGGAAAAAGGGCTGTTTTGTTGGCATCAGCACATTCTGTAACATGATAAGAACCAATAACCCAGTTCTATTCTCATCAGCTCACAACTTGTGCACAACAATACCGAGAAGGACGTCCTTTATTAAAACAAAACGCTGCATCGATGTCACCTCTATTCGCATGAACAGAACTCGACGCAATTCAATTAATAAATGTTTCATGCGCTATTGACTTTTTCCTCTTTTTGTGGGAAGGACGATTTTAAACGACAATCTAACTTACATCTCAAGCTATCAGTTTTACATGCAATTTTCATTGAAACAAACTTGAAGCTCTACATTAACAACTAATAAAATGTTGATTGTTTTTCATTACCTTTAATTTAAATACAACCAGGTTTGACAACTTGCAATCCATGTAAATCAATCAACCTTCAGAAAATTAGAGCTAATATGGCTGATTTCAGTTTCACCAACTAAAAATATATCCACATTATTCGAATTAATTATTAATATATATCATTTATCTACGACCTATTATTTGTGTAATAGAATTTAACTTAATTTGCTTTCAAACTGTTTAACAACTGATTACAGTTGGGTGGAAACCAATGTTACTGTTAGGAAACTATTGATTCTTTAGGTTGGCATTCTGTAATGTAAATCGCTTGATTTAAATAAAGAAAAAAGTGTTTGACTGTTAGCACGGTTGGAATTGTTTTCATATTTATCTGTATTTAAAGTTTTAAGATGAATATTGAAGCGCCTATTGTTGATGTCAAAGTCTCTTACCTGTGGACCAGTGACCCTAGTAAGATGTCATGGGCCACCCCATTGAACATAGACAATTTCATATGAATTTTATTATTAATAAGAATCACAATGAAAATGTAAGTTTACATAAGGTTTTATCAGTTTTCCACTAACAGTATTATTTGTAGGCATCAGTTATTTCAATACAATACATCATGAAAAGGATGGACAGAGGATTAGAAAGTATATATTCTCTCGGATGATTCCACCATATTATTAATATGAAGGTCTTTTATTGTTGTCAGTCCAGTACATGAACCAGCACTGATGTGATGGGTTCGGGAATGTATATTTAAAACTATACCAAAACTCTGTTCGAATACATAGAGCCTGGAAGAAATAGAGATAGTATTTGTAGTGTGTTGACAAGCAATTGCACATGAAAATATACCAGTAAGTATTATTGTATAATAAACAAATTCCAGTATATTAAATTCAATATTCCAGTACTATATATTGCATTCAGAGATTTGAATGTGCCTTCGAGTATGTTGACTCATTATTATTTGATATTCGCTTGCTGAAATTTATTATGAAGAATATTGACAATATATGGAAGGAAGACCTTGAAATTAAACAACAATAATGGAATAACATATATAATAGAACTGAATTGAAATGAAATTCTGCAATAATACATAAAATTGGCTTCAACATCTATTGCATATGAGAAACATCTTCACATTGAAATTGATACAAATGGTAGAATCAATTATGTGTGTTTAATATTATAGAATATACAGTTTTCAATACATTATTTATTTGTTTCTAGAATTATTATGATTTGGTTGAACTAGTTCAGATAAGATTAATTTAAATAATTGCTAGTTCTGAGCAGATGTATAAAAGATGTGATTAACGCTCAAAGAGAAAGACTGTATCCTTCAAGGAATCGAAATTGATGCAGCTGTTCCAAAGGGCTGTTGGTGGACAGAAAATTAGTGCTATAATTATATTTGCCATACATACCTGTATTCCTGGAATATCCTTATTTGAAGCTTATTTGTGTTCTAATGAGACGTTTAAAGAAAATGTGCTTCATTTACTAGTAATATTTAAATATAATTGCATTTATTTTGTGTGGAACAAAAACTTTCTTGTAATAATACAATTGAAAAATGTTCAAAATACAAGGACTTTTATACTATGTATCAATACATTTATTGACATGAGATTCACGCAAAGACAATTTCGTCGTTATAAGAAAAGTCATGCAAAAATTTCGAGAAAAGTATTTTTTAAGATGGTTTTGATATTAATATATCTGATAGCCCTGGCACGTGTAACATTTCTCGAACATACCTAAAGATATCGTGATCCGTTCCTGTTATTTAAAAAAGACAAATACAAGGCACACTGTCAACATGAAGATTAGCTGTGAGGAGAAAATTGAAATAGAATGCTTAAGGGGTTACGACAGCGCTGTTATTGAAATTTGAAGACAAGAAAATACATAAAGAATGATATTTAAGAGGAATATGAAAATTAGTGTGTATATTTCTTTCTTACGATATTTAAATTGTTGTATTTCATATATTTCAATTGATTAAATATTTAATATTACGAATCTTCTGAATTTATCAACATGCATCAACTGTCAGGTTTCTTTTTAACTCTATTATACTTTAGACCAAATATTTGGAAGAGAAAAGCAGATTGAAAAATAAAATTAATAATTTCAGAATTTAATTATAGATTGATGGAGAAGGCTTTGGAATCAAGAATCAAGTGGGGCTAATTATTACCTTGATGGAGTAAATCTACGCATTAGAGGTCCAAATTAAAAACGGAGACTATCATATAACACATCTAATAATTTTAATATGTAAAGTCTTCTCAATAACTATAATTATGTAATTTAAGATTACTACAACATCATCGGTGAAAACTTAAATATAAGTTGAGACTTTGGTTTAAAATTCGTTTTTTATTCATTCATGGATGATGATCTAAATAACATGCGTTAAGTTATTGGGATTTAGGAAATAATTTTAGATAAAATGATTGCAAATTAATGTATGTATGTTACTTCGTTACTTTAATTTACTGTTAATCAGAAAAGATATTTAAAAATGATTGAATAAGTAACTTTTTTTATTTATAAAGAATATAAAAATAAATTAGTTGAAATGAATTGTATCTTGAGGACAACAACAAAAAAATGCAGATATATTAAAAATGTCTATTTTATAGATATTTTAATAATAACAAAGACTGGATAATTCCAGTATTGTCTATAAGAAAATAAATGTTTGTCGAAAATCGCTGATTTATAATTCCAATTATATAATACCAATTCACCATGCTATTAGACGTTGATTGTAATATAGTAGTGCGCATTTGCTAAAGCCTCTTGTATGCGCCATGAAGACAATAACATAAAATTGCAGATTATTTAATATAATCCACCTTTTTCTTTTTACAGGTGGTTGCACTTAAGTAACTAGCGCCAATGAGGCTTTGAACGGTGACGTCATCGGCGTCGGTCAGCGTCGTTATAGTAAAACACGCCGTCTGCTCGCCATTTTCCAGCTGAATGGAAAAGTTGGAAAGTTTCCACAGTGTGGACACGCATCTGCATCGCAAAGGTATCGGTGAGTATGCAAATAAACATTGTTTTCGGCTCTTTACCATTGTTTCCATATCACTTTAATTAAGACGCCTGCGACGTCCGCAACAGTTTGTACTCTGACGACGACCACCTGTTTTTACGTCCCATATAACCTACTTACATTACAACTTTTACATCCATAAACACATTCCATTTTTGAATGTCTTAATGATTGTAATTAATAATGTTTCATAATAAGCTTATGCTCATAGAAGCTTATGTCAATTAATTATTTCTTATAAATCTTCATAATTTTAAACTGGATTAATTTAATGTTTCAATTAAAAATTTGTTCTTTAACAGAAATAATAATTGTGAAAGAAATGCGTTACAAATAAAACCCAGATAATTGCTCATTATTAAATTTGAATTAAATCAATGATCAATTATATATGCATTTTATTTATAGCTTCAAATTGTTATTATTAAAACAAACAACTAATTATGTGTCTGCTCGACGTAATTACTTTATAATGTACACATGAAATACATTTAATTTAATAATAATGTTTATTGAAATATATTAATTGATGTTTGAAAATTAAGATAAAAATTAATTCTAATTACCTGGAATTGTTCTGTTCTTATCTTTACTCAAAAATATTAATTAATTCGCGTAATTTGATGTTCTTGAAACTCAATATGCAATAGGTTTTATAACATTCTAAATAAGTGATTTCCTTGACATTTTATTGTATATTAGTTATATGTTGTTTATAAATATGAATCGGAAATACCGGACTATTTGTAACCAGTCTAATCGAGGAACATGTTTCGACAAAAATAAACAATACAAAAAGAGATTTGCCTGTATAACCGACAACAAAAAACGATGATTTATGTATAAACAATAGTTTTGTGCACAAATTTTTTTAGAATTTATTTTTAATTAAAATTCAATGCGCACTGATACCGCACTCAGCGAGATATTACTACTAATTAATATTAGGACGATAAAATTATAAATATCATTGATATTTCAATGAAAAAAGTATGAAACTTTGGAACAAGTCGTGTATTATTTTATTAAAATATTCAGTCTGCTTTCCGTGTGTGCGGTAAACGAGGCATGCATGATGATGAATTAAACGCGAATTCGATATTCGTATATATTGTTTGTTTATATAATAGTAGTATTATGAATAATAAAATAACAATATCGATAATAACATTATTAATTGGCTCTCTCAAATTTATATAAATAATTTTTAAACTGATTAATTGGCCGAACGTGTGTATTCTCCAACATTAATTAATAATTTCCAAATTACCGAATCAAAAATTTCAATACCGATGCATTTAATTGATGCTTGCTCATATATTAAATGTGTTTCTACATTCGATAATAATATCCATTATAATTATAATAAAATCATTTATTTTACGTCCTGGCATAACATAATTATCTTATAGTTGAATTAATAATCAAGTTTAGAACGAATACAAGATGACTGTTATATAACGACTTCTTCTTATCGATTCAAAAATAAAATTGAATCAAAGTATACTTTTATATAGAAATTTTCTAAAAAAATACAAAATTGTCAGTCATGAACTGATGACAAAGTGATACAACAATTAAGTTGAATCGTTGGATAGAATTCTACAATTGTCATAATATTTTTTTTTATCTTTGCATTATGAAATTCACAATATAATAGTTCATTTTCACCAATTTCTGTTCTTCAATAAACATTTCAAAACTTGATTTAAAACATTCCAAATATTGAAGTTTTGATGGAAATATTTACAAAAAAATCATAATAACTTTGTACGACGTTTCTCAACTTTTTTTCTGCGCGACTCAATACAACTTCTTGTTTGTAATTGTAGCTTTGACAGTAGGTTACAACTCCCATTTTGCAACCCATTGAATATACAGTGATCTAATATATAGTTGAACCTCGCTTAACGAGCACCTTGCATAACGAGCATTTCGCTTAACGAGTAGCGATGAGAAGAGAAGTCCCGGATTGCGCGCCTGTTATAATATTTTTAAAACTTGTGTACATATATTATGAATATGTTTCACTATACGAGTAAAAATCCGTAAATTTTGGAACGGATAAGCGAGGTTCCACTGTATTTGAATGTGTATACTTACTTGATGTGTGCATTCTGTTGATGTTCTTGTAGGGAAATGAAATGTAAATAAAATTATCCTGAATATTTTTCACTTTTGTAATTTTTATTCTTATTTACCATACAGACATAAAATAATATTGTGCATAAATGGCTTATGATTAAACAAAAAAAAAACAAACAGAACAAAAAAAAATAAACGTAGAAATAATATAATAATGAATTCAATAAATTATAATAGTGAATTATATAATATTATGTAGGTATGTAATTTATATATATATAAAATAAAAGAAAGAATAGTAACAGATAAAAAGAGAGGGTTAAAGAAAATGTAAAGTAAAGAGAGAAAGTACTTTTTTCCTATGAGAGACAGCAGAGATAGATAGACAGAGATGATGACGACTTTTGTTATTATGTTTTTTGTTTTCCTTTATTAAACTTTGCATTACAACTGGGCCATCAGACTGTTTACTAATTTGTAGCACAACTGTACTGTTTAAATATTTATTTATTGCGTACTGACTAAAGAGGCTAAACGTTATTATTTATTTATTTTTTGTCAACTTCTTCTTATCTTTCGATAATCATTAGGTAATTTGCTAATTGTTGTCTTAACCTTCCTCGCGCTAACATCGAACTATATAATTATTCCATTTTCATTCGAGTTCATTTCATTACTTTTTACTTTCTTTTAGTATACATTAAAATAAAGCTTTGACCTGAATCTGTGGTTATACAATATGTGTTATTTTTCACGTTTAATTCATTTATTTCCTAGAAAATCTAAAATGCCGATCTTCGCTTAGTATATATATATAATATTCCGTAAAAGTTGTACAAATTGTATGTATGTATTTATATTATTTAATTATTTGTTATTTTTTTTACAAGAGATATGAAAAAAGAACTTGCCATTCAGGGTGTCACCATTTCATTCACATTATTATCGAACGAAATAAATATAGAAAATAATCGAATTTTTTGTTTAAAACCGAAAAGAAAATAGTTGACTGATCAGTGGTCACACAGTTTTTCACTTTTTTTTTTCTTTTGGAAGGCACTTACTACTTGACTTTTTTTGAACACATGAAAGCCTAGTCGAAAAATTTTGAGAAATAATTTATTCTTGTGTTTTTTTTAAGGGTCCGATTTTTTCAAAATTCCGGAAATGAAGTGTTTAATTTTTTTTCTCTCGTAAAGGCCACGGTTTCGAAAAAGTTTTCTTCTCTTCATAATATATAATATACATTTTTATATATCACGCCATAACATACAAAATTTTTATAAAGTCAAACGAGCGTCCGGCATAACCCTAAAATGGCAGGAAGTCATTTTTTTTCTTCAAAATAATGTTTTTTTGTTGCTTCTGTTCCTTAAAACTTCACTACATTTACAAGTTTTTCATTTATATAAATTTTGTACATTAGTTCATATCCTATAATCTAAACAAATCACAAAAATAATTTTTTATATTGTTGGCTCAGTGATTGATTACTCCATTTAATTTTAGTACAATTTCATTACCAAAGATTTTGTTCTCCTCTTTTCTTTAAACCTACGAATGCTAGTTATTCCACTGTATCCTTCTTATTTCTCTGAAAGAATAAATGTTTGTGTCTCTTAAATGTTACGTGCTACAAGTCGTGATATTCGCAACTATGCTCTTGTTTAATTAGTCATTAATACATAAAAAACAAAGTAATCAGAAAAGGAAACGCAAAAGATTAATAAATGTCGATAAGGAAAGAAAGTAGTTTAAAACTGAATCCTCTCTTCTCTCTCTCTTTCTCTTCCAGAGGCGGCAGTTGCACTACACTTTGTACATACACAACACCTAGGTTCACTATTTATTGAGATGCTACATCGTAACATATAATATTTATGATACATTTGGCATAGCATAGCTACAAAATAGGAAATAAAACGTTGAATAACGAATCGAAACGCTTCCGAATTTACATTATACACATAACAGCTGCGTGTTTTTGTTTTCATTTCGTTTTATTTTAAAAGTAACACAATCAGGTTTTCTTCTTAAAAAGTAAACAGGTCAACCACAAACATTTCTTTTCATTTTTGAGTCCTAATAAAATTTTCTTCTTCCACTCCAATTCCCTCCTCTTTTTTTTTACAAATATAAATATATATATACTTTTTTTGTTTTAAATTTATATAAATATACAATTTTTCCAAAAGTCCAAATTTTGAGAATTAAACCTGACCTTTCCTATCCACTCTCAGAAGCTTATTACAAATTTGCTTAAACAATAAAGCGATTATTAATATTATTATTACGATATATTTTCCTCCTTAAAAAGTTCTCAATCATATATTTTATTTATTTATATATATATGTACTCCAGTGTATTAAATACCTATACAAGTTTTGTTTTTTTTTCTTCTTCATAATCATAATCTTATTTTTTGTTTGTTTAATCAATATATATATATATATAATTACAATATTTACTAAATAAATTAAAATTACAAAGAGACCAGCTGGAATCCGTTACAAATACTGATAAAGACTGACCTATTTCACAATTAATTAAACATTTCAAAACAAAAAGAAAACTTACTAAAACATAGTAATAATAAAACAATTGATTATAATTATTAAACATAGAAAAGAATAAAAGGGTTATTTATGCATCTAAATTGTTATCCGTTTTGTTTTCATGTTTGTTGCTGCTGCTGCTGAGTTTCCTTGGTGATTCCTCACATTGCGCAAGAGCAACAAGGAAACTGAACTATCCTTATATAATATATTGCACTGACATAATCCAGCGATAGTAATATTATTATGTGTATTTTCTTTTATTCTTGTTTAAATCATTATCATTATTATTTCTTTATAAATCTATCTATCTATTTAATATATCCATATAATTTTATATTGATTTGGGTAATAATATTTATGAATGCGCATCCGTACACTAAAATAAAAGACCAAACAGAATATGCTCAAAGGATCGTCGAAGAAAGATTAAACGAAATTTGAATTTTCTTTCCCTCCGAGTCTCCGTTACTCCATATATATATATCATATATTATTTACAAATTACTTGAATATCTTTCGCTTAAATTTGAGTTAACAGAGTTGTTAGTTTGTTTGTACATGAGTTTTGTGTGATTTCTTTTCGTTTCGCTACCTTATTTTGTTTTGTTTCAAACATGAAATGACTTTGGTGTGTATTTTTTTCGTATAACTTCATTATTTTTTATGCTTGTTTGTTCAGTTGCTTTACCGAGTTCACGTTATTTTTAGTGCTCACAACAACAAAAGTTAATTAATTACACGTCCTTACGCACGAAAAGAAGATAAAATATACATTACATAAGACTAAACGATATAACAATATTTATACAGTGAATTCTGTTTTAGCGTTTCTTAACAATAAATTAAAATTAATTAAAGATTCATAGCATCTGCACACTTTCACAATTAATAAATGCATTTCGTTAAAAGTAAGTTTATTAAAAGTGAAAGAATAAACAAAATTATATTAAAAATATAAATTAAATTTAAAAAAATAAAACAAAACAAATATACACAACAACAAAACAAACGGTGTTTTTTTTTGGGGTTGTTTTCTTTTATACAGGTTTTCGTATCTTGTTTACTCCATTATCTTTTTAATAACTTTTTTTTGGGGGATAGTAATTTGTTACGTGTACAGGTGCCTGGGTTATGTATTTTTTTCGTGTTTACTTATTTTTTTTTCTTCTGCTTAATTAAATCCTATTTAGAATATCGTATTTATTGCATTCTTTTCCTCTTCGTCCAAGACTCTCCACTTCTGTGATCCGCTTTGGGCCCGAAAAACGTATATGCTTCCATCGTAAAGAAACTTTTCTTTGTTTTATTTTTGTTTTGTTTCTCAATTTATAAGTTCGAAAGAAATGTTTCAGAATCGAGTAACTGACGTTCCGAAAGGGGGGGAAATCAATTAACAAAAGGATTGTCGTAGTGCGAATGCGGGATTCTCCAAACTTCGTGTATACTGAGTATATTTTTCATCATTTTAAAAGAACAAAAAATAATTCTTGACTTTTTTATTTTATTAATTTATATCATTTTCAAAATAATGTTTGTAATCATTAAAAGAAATCATGCGTATTATAATTTCACGCATCGATAAAAGTTTATGTAGTAAAATAGAAAAGTCGTATGTATACAAGACGATTCGGAGATCCCGTGTAAAATGTGATGTGATTCTCGAATTTTTTCATCCAATAAACATATATCATCTAAACAATTATAGTTAAAATACAGCTTCCTAAATTGCGATTTGCTCCATTCCATTGGTTAAAGATTTGGTTTGATGAAAATAGCAACTCTAATTTTGAATTTAGAAAAATTGTATACATATACACAACAGTCTTTTTCCTTAAATAGAAACTGGCCGAAACTTTGGCTAGATTAAAGTTTTTTTTTCTTAATTTGTAACTCCTCCGATTTAAATTTAATTTTCTTCTTTTTACTTCCGTCTTCAAATTTACAATAATAATTTTTAATTTATTTGTTTATTATAAAAAGTGTCCAAAAAATCTTTCTCCCTCGCTACTCTAAAATTTCGAAATATATAATTTTAACAGTTTTTTCTTTAATCAATAAAACTTTAATAATTTTTAAATTAGAAGAGTATATAATATATATATTTTTTTATTTATTTACTTTATAAATCAGCGCGGGACAAAAACCCCAAAACGACCCCGACTTAAATATATATTTTTTTATGGAAGCGTTATTTTTTTTAATTTTATTTTATATTTTTTGTGTTTAGGTATATAAATATAGTTATATTTTTTAGGGGGGGATTTCTCTTTTTTTTTGTTCACGCCTTTGATGGGGGTTGGATTTGTGGCATTTGTTGCTCGCTTCTATTTAATTTTGTATTCGAAAGAATTCTAAACTTCAACCTTTTTTTTTTTTGGTTTGTGTTTGTGAGTAATTATTTTTTTTCTTTTGTTTTTAGTCGAGAGGTTGCATATAACTAATAATAATTTATCACATTACATTTTAACACCGCCCGTGTTCATTCGCCTCGACATTCCGCCATTGGTTCCATTTTGATGGAAGCGATCGAGTCTTTGGAGCGAGGCGCATTCGAGTGGATGGGCTTTACCAGCTCATCTATGTCCTCTTGGAAGAGATTCTCGGGCCTTGGAGAGGTGAACGACGAACGGGCCGGTTTGTATGTCATCCCGGAGACGCCGATGCCCACGTCCATGTTGTTGCCCATGCCCAGGTTGAGGGCGCTATCCATTGTGCTGGAGACGGTAAGGCCCAGCGGCGATGAGATGGGACTCTCCAGTCCGGATCCTGCTGGGCTTATTCTTAGGTCTTGTATGCTACCAGCAGGGCTGGCCATCCTCATCGAGGTCATGTGGCTCATCGAAGTCATTTGGTTTATACTCATCGGAGGAACACCGTTGCTGGGCATCGTCACCGATCCACAGTGACCTGCCAAAGCCAACGAGTTCACGAGACTGGCTACAGGGTTTGTATCGTGAGCGGTGCTCGCATGTTGTGCTGCTGCTACCATGCTGCACATCTGCTGTCTAAGACCATGGGCCACGGCGGCTACAGCTGCTGCTGCCGCCGCTCCTGGGGATACGTTTGGGTCAGATCCATTGCTGCATGAGTTTCCCTGGTAGCTCTGTATTGTCACTCCATCCTAAACACAAACAAAAGCAAACCCAACATTAACAAACACCTCATCCACATCTCAAGTGATACTAACTACTAATGAAGCTCTTTGGTTGGGGCTAAATTATAGAATACAACCAAAGTAACTCTTGCTTATCGTAAAAGGCGACTAAAAAGAGAAATTATCCTCTTATCATCCCATTTTTTTTCATTTTGATACTTGAAACTATAAATAATCAAGTATGCTATTCTTTGACACTCATCTCAGTTTAGTCAATACATTTGTATGCGTAATGAAAAACGTTGGCTTTACAACGAATCATAACTCATTATTATATAAAAAAAAAGTACCATACCATCAAAAGACAAACATTAGAGAACCAAATCAAAATATGATCTTTTCCTATAAAATATTTATTTCAATTGATTAAGTACATCGCGAACACTTTTTTAATTAGAAAAGTATTTAAAAAATCAAGTGTATAAAACTAAGTGAATTTTTTAAGGTAAGTTGATTTTATTTAATATATTAATATTACGAAACCACAAATATAATAATAATGTAAGATTTATAAATCGATCTCAAATTATGCTTATCGACAAGATAATTGTATGAATATATAATTACCAATATTGTGGTGAAAATATCTTGTATTGATATTATTGTAATATGCATTACATAAGCACAATAAGCACATTTATATGAAACAATATATATTTACAATAAATATATTCTATTTACTTTGCTTACCTAATATTGATATTTTGTTTGCATTAAAAATTACATAATTATATAATAGTGTTTGAAAAGTATAGTAATCTATTCATATATAATAGTTATGTACAATTATACAATGATAATCACTATAAATAAGTAACATTTGTTATCTACATTAACGTTTTATATATAATAGAATTAACAAATGATGGAAAATGCATGAAAAATGCTATAAATAATTCACTCGCATGTCTGACCGCAAAAACGAGGGTATTTATAAATTAATTCAAAATTGCACTGAAGAATATATTAATTTCAAATGAAAATGTTAAACATATATAGAATAACTATGAATTATTATATATTAATATTTATAGCGATTTTAAATAATTCAGACAATATATTTTAGTCATTTCTTATTTTTTTATATACATCTCAACGTAATAAATAAATCGATGATAACTTTAATGGTAACTGTAAATCATCAAATGTATTCCATTTATGTGGGTTATACTCATTGTTAAGTAAATTTACATTTACTTATAATGTGATTTACAGTTTTCTTAACATTTCTATCACATTATTTTTATTACGACATAAAAAAAAGTCCACAAATATCATTTATTTATCGATCGGTTAATTGTATGAATTAATTGCAGCACTTAGTCCATTTCAAGAAAAGAAAAAAATGATTAAATAAGGCTATGTGGAATTATGTAACATGTCTCCTTGCAAATGGATACGTAAAGTAAATAATAAAAAAAAAACGTTAGAAATTAATAATCTAATTACGGCATCGACCGAACGTAATTAATAATAAGAATAAAGCGATATTATTGATTTTACAATTATTGAAAATTGCTTTATATTTATTTTACTAGTGTTGTTGTTTTTGTTTTTTTATATGTAATAGCATCGAAATTGATTGATTCAATGATCAAGCTCAATTATGTGTATTAAATTTTATATTTATTTTTCTTGCCGCGTAATAGCTTTTACATTTAAATTGAGCGAACAAAAAAAAATACAACAACAAACTAAAAAGCTATACGATTTCCTCCGCTACAAAAATAAAACAGAACTAACAACAACAAATTACGATGCATATTATATGTGTTTTTTTATTTATATAAATAATGTATTTTATACTACAAAGCATTTGTGCAGAATGTAATTAAAGAGGTCACATTAGATTGTAATTATAGAAAGGAAGAATTGCATTAATTCCATAATAAATATGTGTTGTTTTCGTAAGCGGAAAATTTAAGAAATACTCATATGATTTCATATTTCCATTACGCATTTTGAATAGAAATTAATAACTAAGTGTATCGAATAGTTAAACAACATGTGTCACATTGAATGGAGACCACTACCAGTATAGGACAACCAGCGTATCGCTATAGTTAAATAGAATCGAACTATTATGTATCAGAATTCATTAACATGATTACTTAGAAGAGTAAATGCAGATATGGAAATACAAAATATGGAAAAATGCTATTAAACTCAATTCGATTTGGTTCTTAATTCAAATGAATTTTAACACAACTAAAGTAGGTTGAATGTAGAATAAATACATAATTGGCTGTGCCTCGAATGGTGCCATATTATGTGATTCAATAAGCTAATGTATGTTACTAATTAATTACACTGATCTGATAAATGTGGAGTGGAAAATGAGTGTATGCAACGAAAATATAAATGCGCACAAGTTTATTATGTTCATATAATGAGATTTTCTGAAATTTAAAGAATGACTTATTTACTTTAATCTAATACGTTTTGATAATCAATTACTTAGTTAAGCAAGACTGTAGTGTTTAATGTGAACTTGAAGTGATTTCGTAACGGTAAGTAAATCAATTTAATTAATTTGTAAGTTAATTATGAAATGACGGATGGTCTGGTTTTTACAATAATTTATCAATTCCAAATGGTTTAAATACAAAATTTATATAATATTTTGATAAAAAGCCCTTTAAATATTAATTGGATTGTGATAAAAAGAGCATAGGTATGTATGTTTTTTAAATTACCTCTTGATCTCTAATTTAATAAATACTCTTCTCGCAACACGAGATTATATAAAATTAATACGGTTATTTCCTATTTTACATTAATATTTGGTTGACAAGGCTCTTGATCCACAAATGAGTATATACTTATAATGTTTTCAAGAGTTATTTTAATCTCGAGTTCATAAAAAGTTAGCGGTAGAATATTATCCTGCTTGCTTAACTTATGTTCTCATCTTTATAAATAATCTAATATTTTATTTATGTAATAATATAATTTATTATATCTAATGGGCAGTACAGTACTTATTTATATATTATATTGGGTGAAGTAAAAAGTTCTGAGCGTTTTTCGTTACATGGCTTTAGTGAGCCATACCTCACGATGTATATGTTGCACCTTGTCATTCTATACTGCGACATAACATGTATATAGTGATTCCATGTAGTGGTTATGTGTTACAGCGTTCCAAAATGGAGGTAAAAAAAGAAAAAAATTCGATACATTCTTCTTTGCAAAACAAAGCGTTGCTTCCAACGCTTCCGTTCTGGTAATATAGACGTTGAAGATGAGACATTTCTGGTAGGCCAATCGTCGAAAATGTTGATAAAATCAAGGAAATCGTTGAAGTGGACTGGCATGCCTGCACTTATTCCATTGTAGATTAGCCAGAAAACCGTTTGGAACTATTTGCATAAGGCTGGTCTCAATGTAAGAGACAAAATGCTCAGAACTTTTTACTTCACCCAATATTTAGTTTTTTTTTAAATAAAAATATATCAGATTTTTACTAAATTAATTGTGAGTAAAATAGTATATATTCATTAATTAAGAAGCTTTTATGTATTTTCCTTAATAGTGTAATGTTGGTTGCCTACATATAGGACGGCAATTTAATGTTTTAGCGAATGTCGAATTGGAAATACGAATATTTAACAAATTTATTGGTCAAAAGTACTATTAACCGAGGTATTTCTGCCCCAGAAACACGATTAATGTAGAATGCTTTTAAATATTAAAAAATACGAATTCAAATATTTGAAAGTTGATAAAGAGGTATTTAGATTGTTTGTAAAATAAACGAATAAGTAATTTATAATTATATAGTTTTATAATAAATTAGAAATGTATTTTTTTTAGATTTAGAAATGTAATAAATTCAAATAACCTCGTATATTGGTAATAAAGAAGATTTAATGAAAGATCACGAGCGAGCAAAGATTTACGTTGAAGTGTTCAAGGGACTTACGTGTAATCTGGGATATCCTATATGGGGTTCCTCCTTAATTTGATGAGAGTCTCGGAAAACGACCGCACGGATAACGCCTCTGATGTGCTCATCCGGCCAGACGCCGAGCAGGATCCTTTGCGGTCTGCCACGTCCTTTAGGCCTCAAGTCTGCATCGACGGAGAAGAACGAAAAACAAAACAAACAAACAAAAACAATGAGTTGCGTGAATTTTCGAAAGTCCTGAGAAGCGGATCTTGACAAAACAGGAAATAGAACTTACAAGTCCCTATTTCGTGTCTCTGGCGTTGGAACTCACCCGAACCTCCGTCAGCCGAAGGGCCCAGCATATTGTGTACTCTGTTTGCGTACAGGACAAAAGTCGGATAGGGGATGTCGTATTTCCTCGCGGCCTGCGACAAAGACAATCCCTCTTTCAAGACGGAGAAAATGGCCTCGGCCATCGTTTCCGGTCGCCAGGACTTCAACGGTCCCCGCTCCCGGAAGCGCAAATTGTGAACGAGGCTCTGGTTCGTGTTCCAGCATTTCTGCCACATCGACTGCAGTTGGTACTGATAGCTGTCTGCTGAAAGAAATAACGAACACTATTAGTATTCAATTAATCTATAGCACGCCATTAATACTAGTTATAATAATAATAATAATAATAATAATAGAATATAATGTATTAATAAAAATTTGATTACCAAAACTATAATAACAATAAAACAATCTGAAACATATAAAGAAAACATTTTACATAGATTAGAATAAAAAAAAAACACAAATTCGATTTCATTTCTCGTCCGGCTGTGGCAGAGAACAATTTATTAAATGCATTTTATTAATCGACGATTCGTAGTTGTGAAGGAAGCGACAAATAATTATATTTTTTTAGTATATTTATTGTTTACGTTTGTTTCGAAAACGTTATTTTCTTAGTAAACTCCATTATTTATTGAGAACAGCGTAAATATAATAGCTGGAGAATTTCCAACATTAATTGTAGTATTACAAGTTATGAACGACATACTAACAAACTTATCTATACTATAAGATGAGTTTCTTTCGCAATATTCAAATATATTTATAAAATATCCAAAGAAAACATAATAATTATTACAAAAAAAATATAATCTATATATATATAATTATAAACAAATTAACATAAATTTATTTTAAACAATATTATTGCCTTCAATTTTTATATGTAAAATACTTTAGAATTTCCGAACAAGTATATATATATATAACAAAACATTATTATATAAAATAAAATACAATTTAATTCTCCTCTTAATAAACTTAATAGGAACCTAAACATGCGTATTATAATATAATATCATTTAAATAACATTTATTTTTGGAATTTAAAGTAAAATGCGCCTTAACTTAGTTATATGTCCTTTAGATACTGAGCAGAGAACATAAAAGTAATGAGTAGAAATAAATGTAACTAAACTAAACATGTAATACAGCATATCGCATGTCCAAGAATACAATCGTATAGCAACACGCAGGCATTATTAGCTATGTAATTAGATTGCATAAATAGCTCACAACAAATAAAAATAATAAAAAAAAGGAAGTTATAATAATGAAAAGAAATAAAAACGTATGGGGGTTTTGGAAGCGGCATTTTTTTGGTCCCAAAAGTAACGGAATGTATATAGTAACGATAGATGTTAAATATTTACAAACAAATAATGGAAAAAGTAAGTAATAAATCGCTACGTCAGTCTTAACAGTCAAAACTGGTTCGCTTCGAACGCGCTAAACTCTTTCGCTTTGTTCTCATTTTTTATGAACAAAGAAAGCTCTTTATCGTTATTGAGTTTCGCGCCTGCCGTCGGTGAGGTTGTTTTGGAGGAGCCTCCGTCACCGGAAGAACTGTTAAACTCGTAGTACAGCGAGACGATGCTGTGCTTTTTGCAGAAGGCCCACCACCACCTGAACCCCGACAGACCTGAGAACATGAACTCCGGATCGCGCATCCTCCTGATCTTCTCGACGAAGTTCAGGACCGCGTTCAGGGACTTTTTCGTCCTTCTGTTGTAAGGCGACACCGATACGCCGCAACAGAACTCTAGCACCTGACCTTCTTCCGACGAATTTAAACCCGCCTCTTCCAAAACTGCCATTCGCTTTGTTTTTCCTAAAATGTTATCGTACAGTGTCCCTTTTGGGATACCGTATTTATGAGATGCTTGCGTAAAACGCATCTTCTGCTTTACCACCGCATCCATTGCCTCCCTAAGCTGGTCCTGAGTCCACGTTGGTGACTTAAATTTTAATAAGATCGGAATATCTGGATCGAAACAAAAAGAAGCAAAGAAAAAAAAAACGAAAATTAAAAAAAAATTATATAAAAGAAAAGGAATTAAACAAAACGATGACAAAACATATATACACATTTACGAAAAAAAAAAATGAAAATAATATTAATAATAATAATACTAAACTAAACTGAGCATGCAGATTAAACTCAAAGAAATAAAGCGAGAAATAAGTGGAAGCAATAAGCAATCAAATCATCTAAAATTGTTATTGTTTTCGAGAAGAATGTAATAAATGTATAGGATCTTTTTTTCCAGTAGTTGCTGTTGTTCTCTTTTGTTTTAGGGGAAGGAAGCGGCAATAACAAAAACACTATACAAACTAAGGAACAAACATAAAACTAACGAGAAAACTTATCCAATACTAATTCGGCAATTTTTCAACTTTACAACGGCATCCAGCAAGTGCACCAAGAGGAGACGCACCGACAAACACCTATATTCCCAAAGAAAGGACGACATCATTAAATCCAATTACAACGACTACATTTACACATCATTTGTTCATGAAATAATACAATAATATAAAATCTATTTAAATATTTAAAAAATAATTAATATAAAGCATTGTTTTATGAAAGTACCGTATTTTTCACACAGGAAAACACACTTCTTTATGTAAAGAATAATTAGGGTGCCCCTCATAGTCCGATGATAATACTATTTTCTTGTTAAAATTCTCATAAATATGTTATCCAATCTTACTTAATACTTTAATAACAAGTAAATTGTGTTTTCCAATTTTTAAATCTCATATTTTGGAAAATATTTTCTATTTAAATTCCTGAGCATCAAGTTGAAAGCATTTAAAAGTCATATTATTATATACCATTATTGCTATATAATTGTTGATTTGATTGTGAGAGTGATATGTTAATAAGTCAAGAGTGGTTAAATGGAAAAATGGGAATCCATTCTAGGAAACGATTCAATTAATAATTAAATTAGCAATTTGCGATAATTTTAGTGGAGACAAGGGAAAAACACAATGAACATGTAAAATTGATGGTTGCGAGTAGACTTGTGTGTGTGTGTTTTCAAATGAAAGGCTTATTAAAATTCCATAAATTGATATGTTTTAATGACAATATGTTATATAAGTTGTCCATAACACCATAAATAATAAAATCGCAATGAACTCAATTGTTGCACTCCATCTCACTCCGATACCTTCTCTTTCCTCGTACTAATCACATGCCTCTGTGTTTGGTCTCTCGCTCTCTTCATATCGTTCGCGTGCTGTGATCGATAATATGACGGTAGGTGTACGGTATTATTTAATCCATTGAATGCACGATATTTTAATAAATAATGCGAAACTGAAAAACGCGCAATATTGAAATTAAAACAACTTTGTGTGGAAAAAAAAATATGGTGTGCGGTCGACCGAGAATAATGATGAAGATGAAATGAAAGAACGAGAAACAAAACTACACTGTAATTCTGCAAATGAATTTCATATCAAATATTTATGAATGTTGTTGTTACAATTTACTCGTGCGCTTTGTTTATTTATTTATTTTATGCACTTTACTCCACTTCTTTGTATTGTTTTGTTTAAATAACGTAAATATATCTAATTTATCATATGCATCTACCATTTAATGATTTCAATATAAATTTTTGCCCACTTGATTTAATATTAAGACAATATTAGTTTTATTCATTAAAAAAAATGAGAAATGGTTCAGCAAATTTGAATAAGAATACAGTTGAACATGTTTTTGTGCGGTACTTTTTTATGCGGTATATGAAACCCACCAATTCCAACGGTGTTGGTACCATTGTAATGTTTTCTATCAGTGTGCATATGTACGATTCTGTTAATCGATTTTGAACCAATTCATCACAAGAAGATGCGCGTTTTGGATTAGTAGCAGTGAATTATGTATGAGCATTTTGATTTTTTTTTCCATATGTACAATGAGAAATTAAATGTTTTTAAAATGTTTTCATATGTAATTTAAAATTTGGATGCACTTTCTCATGTATTTCGTAAATCTTTGATGTATTTTCTAAGTTTTTGTAATGTATTGTACAAAGTTATTTGTTATATGCAATTTTGTTAATGCGGTCCCTATCTACCGCACAAAAAGAGGTTTTACTGTATATTAAATTAAAATTTTACACCATTGGAAAGTAATCAAAAACATATTTATTCAATAAATTTGTTTTTGCTATAACCTCAGTATCAATGATGTGGGACACATCATTAAGATGTACCAACTACTAATCACAATGCAAGTTCAGTTCATTTGAATTGATTTATAGCAACACTATGTTAATTTACAGTGTATAATTCCTTCAAAAGCCATACGAGTGAAGTGAATCGTATCACATGCATGAAAATCGTGATTTAATTACGGAATGGTTAGAAAGATGGAATATCAATATAAACTAACTCAATTCGGTGTATGTCACGTTCACTATGATACAGAACTTTTGTACGCATTCGAACAAAGTCAAATATTAGGAGTACATGGAGGATGGATAGGTCATATATAAGCAAATAGAGAACTTAAAAGTTTTGGAAACTATTCTGAAAAATATGAGAAGAAAATAAACTATTCTATTACATATAATTTTGAATATCAAAAAACATCGTAAGTGTTGCACAAAATTTAATTAAAAAACTTTATTAATTTATCGTAGGATAATATATTTTCCTTCAGAACAAAATTAAACACTGTGTAAGCATTATTCCTTCTTCCTATTTTTTATATATTTGCATTTAAAACAGATCGAAAAACTTGTATTGTAAACTTTTATTTAACTGTTTCACTGTTAAGGAGTAGTAAGCAGTGTTCGGTTTTATATTATTAGAAATAACAATAACAATTGTAGTAAAAAGTAAGTAAGCACTCAAAATGCGAGCTATTGCTTCGGAGTTGCGAAAACGGCGATGTTTTCTCGGCATTAAAAAGCTACAAGAGTTACGAACATTTCGAGTAGCAAATTCGCGGAGGCGCCGCCATCAAATCGCACACAAGTATTGATATAAAACGGTAAAACAAAATCAGGTTACGCATTTATAAACATTTTTTTTTTGTTTCAAAAAATTTGTTGACTGTGAATTATGATAATAATTATAAATAATTGAATAAAATAATTAATAAATCCATTAATGTATATTATATAGATATATACAATATGTAAATACGGAATTGGCAATTTCGAGTATTGCAGCACTCACATACACACACACACATACAAACCCAATTCGCTACAAATACATATACACAAACACACACCGACACAGACACGCAAAATTAATGTTGCTTTATAAATTAACTGTTATATAATTCATCGGAATTAATTTATAATGATCGCCATGTTAAACCTGCAATTACAGTGTAAACTAATTAAATAAATTAACAAAACGTATTATACACTAACGGCGTCCATGAATAAATGATTGAAAAACGTCGGCCGGACGTTTTTAAACGTGACGCCACTTGCAATATTAATTTTACCGACTTCACTTCCGCTTATTTATTTTTTACATTTGTTATTTGATATTCACTTTCTCCGCTCTACATTTTTCATCTTTAAAATTACATCAATTTACTAAATAACAAGTTAGAATTTTGACAAATTAAAAAAAATATGTAAATTGCATAACAAAATATTAAATTTTAATAAAGAAGGTTTAATGAATGATCCAATAAGAATCATCATATATTAGTTTAAAGTTTATCATTATAATCAATGTATTAGATTTTAAAGAATAAACTGTTAACAAATAATTTAGATTCTGTGATAAGAATAAACTATGTATCTAAACTTTTAGATACTAATTTATTTAGGAAATACTTGTTTCATTATAATTGTTGTTCATGTTAATTTTAGCTTTAGATTACTAATTAAATTTTCAAATTAAATTTTTAATTACATAATGTAATAATATTGTGAAAATGATTAATAAATATTATTTGTCTGAGTTCAAATGGAGTAAATTGTAAATAAATATTAGAAGATAAAAACAACAAAATTAGATGTAGTTGCATGCCCGTACATATTATACCATTGTGGCTTTGCAATTATTGTAATCTTATGCAATGGGAGCACGAGGAGTGTTTGTGAGAGAGAGGATAAGGGAGCTATAAAAAAGAGGTCGGGACGGGAAATGAGAGAGGAAGGAAAAGGGAGAGAAGAGAAGGAAAGAAATAAAGAAAGAGACGAATTGGAAATGTAATTTGTGGCGAGTACAATTTTGATAAATTACATTCGAATCGATTTAATATTAAAACATTCTTGTGTATTATTGTGATTAGCGTGCGGTGCGTTTTCTCCTCTCCTTTTTGGTTCGTTTCTTTTGTAATCGTATATTCAATTAATTAAAGGCGAACCAATATACCGAGTGTTCAACACATCAAATTTTACATTGATCACAGTTCATTCGATTGACTAACTTTAAAATAAAAAACGTTAGAAATGTTGGTCACCTGTTTTTATAAATGTACTACTGCTACAAATTTTGCATAAATTGTTAATTAATAATTATTGAATGAAAGAAAGTGATGAATGTTAATCATGGATTTCAATTTTTAGATATAATTATTGCGACAAAGGTTATTATAGAGATTTTAAAACTGTAATTGAAATTTAAGAATATAAAATGTGTTGTATGAAACACTCTGTATAGTTATAGGTATAGGTACATAGCATGTATATGTATGTACAAGGGAGTGTTTCGCGGGAGGCCACCTATGATGATGATGTGGAGTCCGTCTTGTGTATCGACCGCCCTCCGCCCCTCGCGGCCGCCGTGCTCTGCGAGCGGCGACCGCCCGCCGGCCAATTAACAATTAAAAATATCATTATTTCATAACAATGAGATTCAAATAACAAAGTAGTTAAATAAATTAGCATCGCTACAGACCTCGGAACGGCGCGCAGTAATGGAATCATTAAAGATTAAAATCGGATTCGTCAGGTATCAGCAATATTATTACCGTCAGTCGATAATCATCCCCCACGGATTGATAATTAAACTATTATCTATTTAATTAAAATTATTCACCTACCGACCAGACCGAACTCCCCCCGAGAACCACGGTTCCCTAGCGAACTCACAGAATACCCCCTTCCTTCACCGAACACCCCACGTTCCTTTCATTACTTATTACTCGCTCATTTATTTATTTATCGTCCACTACTTCGATTCATCCATCCTGTCCCATTCCGCCTTCATCTATTCATCAAATCAATCAAGTTCTGATTTATTCTTTAACACACCTCTAATTTTCAATTGCATCGCACTAGTATCAATCATTTATTTTTAATATCTGCATTAATCATTCATATTGAATAATTATTTTATATTACGAAACTATCTATATTTACAAATGCTTCCTATATATAATAATTATAAGTCAAGATCACGTAAATATTTCTATTAACAAACATTCAGAAAAATTTCTCGAAGTTAGATTAATTATCTAATTTAAATAAATTAATTAATTTGTTTCTGAAAAAGCAAAAGTTGTTTCTCAATTTGTTATAGTCTAACGATATGTCATGTCAAATTTCAAGAAGATCTGTAAGAATGGATAGAAGAAAGTGCAAGATTAGTGATGTAAGGTTGTTAGAAATTCCACCACCAACACAGCAAAAATTTGTTTGTCGTTCTTTTCCAGGAATGCCAGAATGCATATGGAGTGAATGTATCATGCGTTGTGACTATTTCCAAATTGTTTCAAAGATTTCAGACCGGACATTTTTTTGTGGAGAACGAACCTCGTGAAGCTTGCCCAAAATTTTTGACCGATAATACAAATGTAGCTTTGGTGAAGGCAAAAATTAACCAAGATACAATAGTGAAACAGGAAATGGTAGTAGATGAAACGGGCTTGATCGTAAATATTAAATCATCACTTTGACTGTACGATGAAGTGCGGGTTCCACGATTTTTAAATGACGAATATTCCTTGGAAAATTTTGAAAATGGAGATTCTAGCACTTTAAGTAAAATCGTTACAGGTGATGATTCTATAAGTGTGACTTGGAAACTAAGCAGCAGTCTATGGTAAGGAGCGCAGAAGGTCCAAATCCCCTAGTTAAAGCAAACCAACAAAAATCAACAAAAAATATGATGGAATAAATATATTCCTTAAAGAAATAAATATATGCATTTCTGAAAATATTTGGTTGCAGTAGTTTTTACATCGCGTGCAAATTTGACCATTATATCACTATCTGCAAACCTTGATATAAGATTTTATATTTTATTTTTACATAATTATGATTTCAATTTACCCTAGTTTATTAGATTTGAAATACTTTGTGCATTATACTATGTTTGATTTTTTTATAAAAAAGCAGTACACCCAAAGTCCCAAATCAATTTTTCATTATTCGCTCGTTTCCTATTCGCAAACCCCATTTTTTTTTCTGTTATTATTATATTTTTTTCGACTCCATTTGGCTATGTTATATGTATATACGCGTCGGCGGTATTGGGGGGCGTTATTTTATTTTAGTTAAAAATCGGCAATTAACTCTGCGGGGAAAATGTGCAGAGAAAAATAACTAACGATAAATTAAAAGCAATTTAAAAATATATGCGTCGGGGAGTTTGGGACCCAAATGCATACACACACACAAAACGTAGAGAGAGAGAAACAAACGAAAAAAAAAACAAACTAAAAACAACCCCCGTTTTCCTCTGACCGAACCGCACCGAACCCACTCTCAAAAAATACGTGTTGTTGTTTGTATTTGCGCCGATAATATAAATAAAAATAAATTGAAATATATTGCCTTTAGCTTTTGCTCGTACCCCAAAATGGCACAATAACGAACAAAAAAAAAGCACAAAAATGTATAACTATAAAAAGGGCGATTTTGTATGTATAAAAATCCGGAATGAGGAAATAAATTTTTCACATAACACATTTTGCAGGACAAGAGTGGGTGAGTTTCGACAAAAAAAAAATCGTATAATATTTAAATAAAATATGATGTTCATTCCAAAATAAGTAATCTCATTTTGCTTTATTCAATTACAAATTTAGTAATCTTGAAATCGATTATTTCATGAACAAATGGTATAGTTAGAAAATTTAAGAAATATTTAGTTAGTTTTAAAGTACAGTAATTCCTTCACCAGTTTTTTTTCTTCAAATCTAACTACTATTATTAGATCCCATACACACTCAAACTTAAGTAATTAACTATGTTTTTAGTTAAATTTTTATACTATGTATTACAAAATCACTTAGTAAATATCTTATATCATTAAATATAATTAAATATCACAGCAGCATTAAAAAAATATGATTGTGTTAATTATTTTTTTTATAAAAATTTATAAGTGAGTATGCTAAGAAAATGTAATGTAAATTATGATACTGTGATAATTAATTTAATTTTGAAAAAAACCTAAAGTTTACAAAATGATGATGGTTGCTTGTGTTACGAAAAGCCATCGAATTACTTCTGTGGCTTTAGTAAAACAAACAACTGTTAGATGACGTTTGTTGCTTATTCTTGTAGATGATCTAGATTGATTCAAATGTTCATTAAGATACATATCGATTTATATTGAGTCCAAGTGTTTAGATAGTTCGGATGGAAGGAAACATAATGAAACTTACCGGCAATAGACGAGGTCGAGGCTGCACCGAGCCAAGCCTGAGACGATTCTAGTAGCTTGGCCTGAAACAGAGAAATAAAAGTAAATATAAGTATTATGTTTAAATATAAAATCATTCATATTTTGATTGGTGGTATAATTGTCATTGAACTGTCAACTTAAATAATGAGTATATTCATTATTGAATGAACGTTTACGAAATTTTAAGGCATATGTTCACATACACAAATTTATACAGACGTACAATTTTCCGTCGGATCATGGATGCAAATAAATGCTATTGACGAATGTCAGTTCCTAAATGACTAATAGTTAGATAAAGTAATATATTGTTTGTTTCAATTTAATGATCTTTATACATCTGCAAGGATAACGAAGAGAACGTATTTTTATCTTATTAAATGAGTTTTGAACATGGAGTGGATTATTGTTGCATGATTATGTAGAGACAATTGTAAATAATTTATGAGGGATTGAGTTATGAAGGGAAGTCGAGGGCGGTCGCCGGCATCGGAGGAGATATTATTTACCCAATTTTGGCCGGGCCGAGTTACTTAACTTTGCTAACCGCTTTGTTTATGGGTATATCTCTATATAAAGGTCTGCACTTTACGACTTGACCAGCTTGTTAAGAATACTTTATTGTGCAGCCCGATGTATATAATCCACCGGCCATCCTCTCCTCCTCTTCCACGGCGATGAGGAGGAATCCGAACGATCACATAAACATGACGACGGAGGAAGAAAAAACATAGAAATGACTTATTTAAAGCTCATTGCCGAGCAGGAAAATAATGTCGCTGGGATGATGTTATGGGATGGGGGGGATGATGAGGGGACGGCCGCTTTTGCTCCTGGGGCATTTACATTAAAATTACGCGAGACTACGGCGGATAAATTTCGCAATTGCGAATTGCTTATGCAAATCGCCGATTATATTTTAATATTTGCGCTGTTCCTTCTCCGCTCTTCCCTTTTTGTCCTTCTTCTTCATCATGCAGCGCTCTCTTTCCCCCGCTTTGGGTGTGTGCATACGCTCAAGTGCGTATAAGGTTGCAAATGATAATTTCCAATTCATTAATTCCGTTGCTGCAGAATCCCTCCATGAATTATTCCCTCCCGCCGTAATAATCATGTACACACTGTATCGGATAACATAATTTTCTCCCTATTTAAATTATATGCAAAGCAGATATAATAATTAACAACTTTCAGTAATGGCGCTCATTAATTATTGAAGACCTTACGCAGATACCGGCGCTCCACGCACGACGGGAACCGTGGAATCGACGAGCCATCGGGCCGGAAATGAGCTTTGCTTATTAATTTCAGACGGAAAGCAGGAAACGCAATAACAATAATAATAGCAGAAAGAAAGCCAATTGCGAATTGTCCTGATGACAGGCGGCAGTTATTGAGAAGAGGAGGAGTAAGAGGAAAGGAGAGGAGGTGGAGGTATGCAATTTTGCGATTTGATGAGTGCAGAAGAGTCCGAGTGGCAGGTAATGAAATTAATGGGCTTAATGTGCGCCCAAGGCGCTGCAGTTATTATTTGCCTTTCCGCAAAGCGGATAATAAAACAATAATCATAACCCGGTTTTATTGAAAACTCGATTAATTACCTCTGTAGATTCCAAAAGAGAATATTAATTAAAAGAAAGCAATATTCATTTACGGACAATGAAAACAATGTCATACAGTTGAATAACTATCTACAAGGTATAATTTTGATATTCAACATCGCATAGAGTATTTACAGAAACTGTCGTTTGTAAAAAATATATTCATTTAATTTTTCTTTTAATGAGTGTAGAAGCGAGTACAAGCATTGAATTATTACAAAATAATAATATAAAATATTATTAACGTTGCTTGCCAGTTGTCGAGTTAATCTCAATATTATAAAAGTAAAAAAGATAATAAAAATATTAAGAAAAGGATAATAAATTATACGGCAGAGATCCTTAAATAAAGCACAAAAACATAATAAATGAATAAACCAGTTTTAGAAAGGATACATGTCTATGTAAATGTTATCAAGATTGCAGTGTACATATCAAATGCCCTATGGTAGTTAGTATCCTTTAATACCATTTCCAAGCACAGCTAAATGAAGATGTAATTATTTATTTTACTTTTTTAAATATAAATAAACAAGTATCCTACACTAAGTAATATGTAAGCACAGTTATCGATATGAATTTACTTTAAGATATTGATATATTCATGTAAATTAGTATTAATTTATTTGATGATCATTATTTTCAAATGAAATCAGTTATATTTAAAATGCGATGGGTCAAATGCATTTGATTTATTTAGTGTACGAAAATAGAGTGCATAAATGGATAAATGTGTAAGTGTCTAAAGTTTTAGTAGACGGATAGTGTTTGGGCTATGCAAATTACACTGTAAAATTTAGTTAATTAGCCGCGGGTGGGCGGCAATTATCGAGGGGGCGGTGGTCCCCGAATTATTCAAGCCGGTCGCAAAATCCATGTTGCGTGTTACCGTCCTGTCTTTTGTAGAGGTAGCGCTGCTGAAGAATGAAAGAGCTGTCGAGGGGCGACCAATTGATGCTTCACGTGTGAATACATGTGTGTGCATCTGTGTGTATGTGTGCAGTGTGTACGGTGGAACAAATCGCAGTTTTATGTTGCGACCCCGAAAACACGGATTTCCATTACAAATATTCAGTTATTCTGAAAAGTACAAAACCAGAAATGTGACAGCATCGCGTCGCTGTCACTGCCATTGACACACGTGATTTCGGCTACGGTTTTGTTATACGATATACACACACATACACCATTTGTGAAAGTCAAGTTTCATATTTATTTATTTTTTTTTACGTGCGCTGGCTGCTCTCACCATTTCCGTATAATTTCCAATTTGCAGACTGCAATTCGTTACCTATTCGCTTTCTTTGACTATTCGCTCTTAAAGCACGCCGATTAAGTGCATACAAAATGTTCATTCTGTATTATAATTTGACTAGTTTAAAGCACTATTTCATTATTGTACTCCATGATATTATCTTTTTGACCAGACCATGTGCATTTAATGATGTGGGGGGAAGTTAATTAGAATACAGCGTTGAATTCAAAGTATCGGCTGGATGCATAATGAAAGAAAAGCGTCATCCTTTTTTAACATTCAGTGTGTTGACTTCTTTATTCACGCACTCATGGACTTGGAAAAACGTAAGCATGTGGTTTTAACTTTACCCCTCTTTTGGTTTGTTTTTCCTTTCGACGTTATTAGTGTCACTGCGTAATTGGCATTTGCGCGTTCCATGAGGGGAAAATAAAAAATTGCAGATTTTCCACCGTGGAGTCGCTACGAAATATTAGTCATTAGTCTGACAATTGTCCAACGGCTAATAACATCGCTCCCTTTATTTACCTTCAATTCGTTCCGATAATAACAGTCCCTTGCAATTCGACACTGTTCATCATCGTGTTTTCAATTGAATTGGGCTTCTCTATATAAATTAATTCACATGTAACCAGACAGTTTTTTTTAATTTAGTAAAAGGAAGCTCTATTATCAAAATTATCTCTTCCCGTATAATCATATTTATTCAAACTCAAAGAGTTTTCTATATGTTTCAATTCACATTACATATTATTTTTGTTACCATTACATAACAGAAATACTGTTTTATGTCTAAAAAATTAATAAAAATATTATATTTTATTTTAAATTTTATATCATTCAAAAAGTTACTCAGATTTCCCATTATAATTAATTATATTTGTATTAAAGTAAGAAATGAGATAAATTTCAATGATAACGGACATTATTACTATTTGCTAAGCAAATAATGGAGACTACCAAAGATCTGTTGCAGAATGTGTTTTTTTTGAGACCTTAATTAATTTCAAAGTGCGTTTTGAACAAAGAGGAAAAGTCATTACATATATGCAGTAGTATGTAAAATGTACGATATTAAACCATTCATCGGAGCGTTTTGCATTTTTCCCATTCGAAGCGAAACGCGTTTTCAAACATTACACTATATTCTCTCCTTTTTTGTGAGTTGTTATTATTATTATTACTACAATCTATATCTGTATGCATGTTCATACAATCTACCCCCGTGCGATGACATGCTGTGTTCAAATATTGCACGGAATGCGAAAAAAATCTGCACGTAGACGAAGCGAGATAGAAACGGGATGAGCGATTTTCAATTCACCATTTTTTGATATATAATAATAATAGTGACGGTAGTAGTTATAATAACGATGGAAGCAAGGGAGTATAAATAAATAAACATATACTGGAGGCGAGTAATTGCACGGATCCTGAGCGGATGGGTTTCATTCGGAAGAGCTAATATAACAGGAAGACAAACTCTTTTTTTTGTTCCCTTTTGACCTTTGACATCGGCCGACCGAAGCGTTTGTGATTTTTGCCGGCCACGATTTAAATAAACGGGATTTAAATGTGGAGCGTCGGTGTAGGTGGCGGCGGCGGCGACGAGCGAGGGAACATCAACATAGTTGGAAACGTGTTATCCGCCCGTTTAAAGCGTGGAATAGTTTTCAGCCACCTGTTGTTAACCCAAACGTGAAACGATACGGTCGACTTTTTGTCGCCGCCGACGCCACCGCCACCGCCTCTGATTTACTGGAACGGATTTAAACACTGCGCGTATGTTTATTCCGTGACGCGGAAAATTATTTTAATTTAATTAATTTACAACGCAGGTAAAAAAACAAAAGCTGAAACATCAATTAAGCAATTTACAACAACAAAAAAAAGAAACGTTTCTTGTCTTGTTGACAAATAATTACTTTTTAAACATAATCAAACCGATTAGTTATAAATCAAAAAGAAAAAAAAATATGGCTTTAATCAAACAATATTTCAATCATTGAATTTTCCTGACAAACCAACTAAACTAAAAATATGCTTACAAAAAAAATTGTAATACATAGTTCCTCTTTTATTATGCTGAAATAAGAAATAATTAGACAAATGTTTGAAGATAAGAAATATTAAAAATTATTGAAAAAAAATAGTAAACATTAATTTTAAATTTTATAAAATTGTT